CCCCAAAGCCCCAGTAGATAGTTGTGTGTCATAGCTGCACATCCTTCTAGTTGCTGTATGTGGGACGCGGCCTCAGCATGGCCGGAGAAGCAGCGCGTCGGTGCGAGCCCGGGATCCGAACCCGGGTCGCCAGCAGTGGAGCGCGCTCACTTAACCACCAAGCCACGGGGCCGGCCCTCAAGGTATTTTCTGTCCTTTTTTTTTTTGTGAGGAAGATCAGCCCTGTGCTGACATCTGCCAATCCTCCTCTTTTTTTGCGAAGGAAGACTGGCCCTGGGCTAACATCCATGCCCATCTTCCTCTGCTTTATATGGGACGCCGCCACAGCATGGCCTGACAAGAGATGCGTCAGTGCCCACCCGGGATCCAAACTGGCGAACCCCGGGCCTCCGCAGCGGAGCACGAGCACTTAACCGCCTGCGCCACCAGGCCAGCCCTATTTTCTGTCCTTAAAATTATTTTCAGGGGCTGGCCCGGTGGCACAGCGGTTAAGTGTGCGTGCTCCGCTTCGACAGCCCCGGGGTTTGCAGGTTTGTATTCCAGGTGCTTGCCAGTGCACTGCTTGTCAAGCCATGCTCTAGCTGCCTCCCGTATAAAGTAGAGGGCGCTTGTCAAGCCATGCTGTAGCGGTGTCACGTATAAAGTAGAGGGAGATAGGCATGGATGTTAACCCAGGGCCAGTCTTCCTCAGCAAAAAAAGAGGAGGATTGGCATCGGATGTTAGCTCAGGGCTAGTCTTCCTCACAAAAAACAAAAAATTATTTTCATCCCATTATTATATAATCAAAATTTATTATTCTTTTAAAAATTACAGGGCTGGCCCGGTGGCTTGGTGGTTAAGTGCGCGCACTCCACTGCTGGTGGCCCGGGTTTGGATCCCGGGCGCACACCAATGCGCCGCTTCTCCACCCATGCTGAGGCCGAGTCCCACATGCAGCAACTAGAAGGATGTGCAGCTATGACATACAACTATCTACTGGGGCTTTGGGGGGAAAAATAAATAAATAAATAAAAATTATAAAAATTACATGATTGTGATTATTATTTTGTCGTCATTATATAGTATTTATTTTTAGGGTTTTTTAAAGAAAGATTGAAAGTTTTTATAATAGTAACACATGTGATGCAAGGTTAAAGCAGTACAGAAATACATGCAGTAAGTAAAGGCCTTTCTAATGTCAGTTACTAGAGGGAACTATTTTTTTAATGGTGAGTTTATTTTTCTATACTTTAGTCTAAACATATGATTACACATACATATGAATATATATGTAAAACATTTTTTGGACAAAAACAAGCATACTGTTTTATAGCCCTTTTTTTCTTTCTCATATAATCAGGGAAATTTTTCCATGTTAATATATTAGAATTTTTTGCAAGTGCTTTATTGAGATGTAATTGACATATAACTAACTGTATATATTTAGTTTTTTGTTTTTTTTTTTTTTTTTTTGTGAGGAGATCAGCCCTGTGCTAACATCCGCCAATCCTCCTCTTTTTTTGCTGAGGAAGACGGCCCTGGGCTAACATCTGTGCCCATCTTCCTCCACTTTAT